AAACTGCACTGTCTTCCTGCCTTTAGGCACATAATACTCAGCCCTCCCAGTAAAACTGGGCCCAGCAGGAGCCTCTCATCTGGATGACCTCTGGAATGCCCTGAGCAGCAGAGCTTTGTCATCCACAGCACAGCAGAAAACCCTTCCAGGTTGTTAAGATCCTGAGGGTGCAGGATCCAGCCACACTTACCTGCTGGTACCTTGATCTCCATGGCACTGGAAAGCTCCTTGGAGCTGAAGTGTCTGGGGTGGGAACCTCGGCCAAAGATGGAGAGAACCACTCTGCCTCTCTCAGCAAGTTCTTGCTTCTCTCTAAAAGAAATTTAAAAAACAGCAGATCAGGCCAAAATTTCAAGGATAGAGTTGCTGAGTCTAAGCATCCTCTGCCTACTTTTTGTGACACCTGTTACACTTGGAGAAACTGCTGTTATTCCATTTAATAGCATTTTTTATTCTTACATGGGTACAAGCAGTGGCACAAGACAGAGAAAACAGGTTCCACGACAGGCAGGAGAACACACTGGCACAAATGCTCAGGCATTGGACTTCACCTGTCTGTGGCATCAACAGCTCCAGCCAGCTCCACATCATTCAGGTTTAAACCACGAGGAATCAGCCACCTCATTTCTGCTCTGAGACACAGCCACAATGCCAAACCCTTCCCATACAGGGGTCAGTTTGTGTTGGAAAAGGAGAACAGAGTACCTGACCTTACCACGAGATCTCTAAACCAGAGGCTGGACAACCATATCCCAGACTGTTACTAATGTTGGAGTAAGTGTGAAATCATTCCTGTGATCTCTTCTTTCCCTGCAGGTGCCATGGATGTTACTTCCTTCCAGAAGGGACTTCTCACTTGATCTTTCAGATCAGAGACTGTAAATCTGATTGAAGGATAACACTGACAGTCCCTGACACTTAGGAACAGTTTCTGGGGTGAGGATGGGGTGGCACCACTTTGGTGGGGTTTCCACAGTTGTGCCTCATGCAGCAGAAGGCAGCTCTGCTGAGCAATTCAGCTGTGTTTTCAGAGGTGAACAGGCCGGCAGCAGAACCTCTGCCTCCCCACCTAGCCCTGATCACATTGTTCTCTCAAATGTGCCAGCACAATTTTTTCCTGCAGCAGCACTGTGAAACACACCACTCCAGGGGAAAAAAAAAAAAAATCCAACAAAAAAGCCCAAACAATGACGCACTTGTTAGAAGCAGCTCGGCTCCCTGATCAGATTTACAGCACACCAACAACTGCAGCGGCAGAAATTTGGGAGGCAACGTGCTGTGAGGCCAGGGCAGGAAAATGCAGAGAGATTGGAACATTTTAAGCTGATGTTGACAGCACAGACAACGTCTCATGAAATCAGAGCTTAACAGGTGGGAGGGTGACATAATAAGGGAAGGCATGAGGTTTTTATAGAAAGAAATAGGAAATCAATATTTAATTACAGCAGAACTGCAATGAAGTTGCATTATTGAAACCATCTCACCAAGTTGATACAATATTTTTTATCAAAGAAAACCTAATAATGAGTCTACATTAACCTCCAGACTCAGTGTTCACCAATACTTCCCCACTAATAAAAACAGACATTTATATGCTTGTGGTCAAGAGCTAGAAAGATCAGAAAAACTGACAAGGAATTAAGATGTCTTTTAACTCCATTTCAGTTACTAAATTGCCCTGACTGTTCAAACAATTTGTGTGAGTCTCTCTCTCTCACATTAGGTTCCTGCCTAATGCAGAGCAATTGTTCCTTGCCAGGGTCAGAAAAAGGTTTCAAGTGCTGTGGATGGAAAGCAGAAGGAAAAGCCCTTCTGTTACAATCAGTACAACATTGTGTCTTCATCATTTACTGTTGTGGAGAACAATGAGAACTAATGATCTTTTTTTTATAAATGCTTCATGCTAACACCAAATCACAGTGTATGCCACGTGACAGCAGCATTAGCCTGAGGGAGATGAATGAGACTGTTGTGTTTTTCCTAATAATAGAAAAAACCACAAAGCCATACCTGGGACACAGACGCCTCACAGACGTTTTGCTGCCTTCCCCCAGGGAAGTGAACCATATTCTCTGGATGCTGTTTTGGTGTAGCACAAAGCTGTCAGGGGCAGAGAACGCTGGAAACAGTGACAGGAACTCTCAGCCAGACCTGTGACACTCGGACATCTGGCAGCTGTCCGAGGGCAGCTGGGGTTGGACAGAGGGCACAATGAAACACAGCCAAAAAGATCTAAGGATCTGCAACAAGGAAGCTGAGATGTCACTCATTTCTCTCCAGGGAGCAGGGCAGAGCCCTTGGTAGGGGTGGGGGAGAGCAAGGGCCAAGCCAGCAGAGGTTTGAGGCACAAACAAAGCCAGTTCCCACCGGCTGAGCTCGGGGAGAAAGGAATGTGAGGGATGGGGAAACTGGGAGGAATTAGAGCTCAGGCATTTCAAACGAGCACCTCTTCTTAAACTCACCAATTATTTCAGTAATTGCAGTAAAGTGCAAGTAAAATATTGTCCAAAGAGCAGCAAGGAGACTGCCCTGACAGAGGGCCTGGGCAGGAGACAGCAACACTCCTGCTGAAACAAGGCAGATGAGGTGGCTCAGGGAACAGCTCCAAGGACAGCTGTGAAGGGAACAGCAGGTACCCATCCTCCACGCCCACGTGGAATGAGCAGATGATGCCAGCCCTCAGGATACAAACATCTCAGTACCACAGGCTGCCCTTTGGAATCACAGAACGTCCTGTGCTGGAAAGGACCTGTAGGCCCCCAGTTTGTGGTGACTGGGAGTGGGGCTGCCATGGAGCCTCATCCCCAGTGGCAGCTGTGCAGGACAGGTGACCAGCATTGAAGGTAGAGGGACATGGAGGGCCCAGGTTACTGACCTGTCACCAAAGGGAACTGAGGCACACAGGCGTGAGGCATGTAAGATGAGGGGAATAAAAGGCTGGACTGAAGGGCAATAAATGGTGAGTGCTTGAAGCCTTCTGCTGGGGTGTGGGGTTGTGCTGTATGGTGACACTGTGATCGTGGCTGTCTTGACTGTGGCATGTGCTGTGACAGGGACCCACAGGGATTGTCAAGTCCAACTCCTGGCTCTGCGTAGGACAACCCCAAAAATCTCCTGTGCATCTGAGAGCATTGTCCAAATGAGCTCTGGCAGGCCTGGTGCTGTCAGCCCTTCCCTCCGTGAGCTGCCTCAGAAGGACTGAACACCCTGCCTGCACTTAGCCTGAGATCAGCTCCAGGACAGGGCAGACACAGGAGTCAAACCTGCCTCCAGCCTTGCCAGCTCAGGGTTGAAATGGAAGAGCCCACCCCACAGAGCTGCCAAATCTGTCACCTCCTGCATCAGTAAATCCAGAGCCACACACGGGAGTGAGCTGCGCTCCACAGGCAGGCACAGCTGGCAAGGAACAGCAGGATGAGAGATCAGTCCCCAGCATCTCTGAGCTTGCCAACCCAGCGCCTGTGGAAACAATTTCCAGAGCAAAGCTGTCCTGCAGAGCTCTGAGCAGCCGCCAGCCAGCAGCACCCTCCTGTGACACATTCCTGCAGCTCCCAGGCAGCTGCTGCGCCTGAATCCCGGGAGCTGCGCTGTGCTCCGGCAGCGTGCCTGGACCTGGGCATCCCCAGGTTCCCTGAAGGGGTGTCCCCTCCCTCTGATGCGAGATCTGGTGAGTGCTCCACGCTTCCACCCTGAGTTTGTACAAACTGTAAGACTGTGCACTGTTAGACTGAGCTTTGTGGCTGCTCACCTGAGAGAGAGGGGACAACCACTTCCAAGTGTTTTCCAGAGGCAGCCTCTGATCCAGCACAGCATTAAGCCCCTCAGAAAAATCTCAGAACTGAGGAAAAGAAGGGAGTTGGGCATATAACATGCCAACATAGGCAAAACCCTCCTATGACCAGCATGAAAGATGAAAAGCCCTTTCTGCCTTATATCCAGCTCTTTATCTTTGTTGAGCAGGGAGATGGAGCAGCCTTGTGCCAGGCTACACTCAGCCTGTTCTTTCTTCAGCAGGACTTCAGAAACCTAGACAAGAAGTGACCTGTGTAAGAGGCTCTTGCAGCTATCAGTGCTTTGGATCCACTGCCTTTACTTTCACTACTTCATAGCTTATGGATCTGCTCCTGCTGGAGCTCTTTCTCCTGTTTTAGTCAATTCATAGACTGAAATATTCAATTATATGAATGGATGGGTGGAAACAGATTTTGTACGAGGATTACTTGCAATTTAGTCCAAGAAAGAACACAGTTAGTGGTCTGATTTAACATCACAAGCTGGAAATACAGGGAGATCTGGAAACAACAAACTGTAATTCTAAACATGACTGACAGGATCCATCTGCCCTCCCAATAGAGAAGGCATGGATATAATAAGGAGGAACTCTTGGGGTACTAGAAGATATAAGGAAACTGCACAAAGCACTAAGTTTGCATATCTGAGGTAGTTCTGTCTCCAAGAACGTACACATTTGTTGTCCTGAACTTCATAAAACCCAGGACTACAAGCTGGAGAGCATTGCACAAATACTATAAAGATTGTGATAAGCAGCTATAAAGATTAAGGTAAGGACATCCAAATCTGAGGCTCAGTCTCCAGTATGGCAGGTGGTAGGGAATACAGAATCTGCAAAGAATCTTTCGGAAGGGGAAGGAGAAAGGATTGCCAGCACAGAGGCCTCACTGTTTCAGTGAACAACAACCTCCCACAGCACAGGTGGGGCATTCCCACAGAGTGTGAGGTCAGGAAAAGACGCCTGATCCCTGGCGGTGTGTCAGGGACGGGCACAAGGCCGGGAGCCGCGCGGGGAGCCGGGCTGGCCTGCGCTGGCTGAGCATGCTGGGACACGGAGTCCCCTCCGGGCGAGCCCGCGCAGAGGGGAGGGGGCCGCGCACTACAACTCCCGCAGTCCTTTGCGCGCCGCGCCGTCTCCTAGGAGACGCGGGGATGCGCGCCGGGGGTCCCGCAGGGCCGGAACTACCGCTCCCGTGGTACCCCGCGCGGCGCCGCTGCCGCCATGGAGCGGCGCGTGGCGGAGCAGCTCCGCAGCGCGCTGGGCCCGCTCGGCCTCGAGGCGCACGCCTTCAAGGTAATGACGTCGTGGTGACGTCACGGGCACGACGTCACAGCCCGCGGAGCTGCGGGAGTGCGGGGCGGGGAGCGGGTCCCGGGGCCGC